GCCGCTGCCCTTGGTAACCATCTTACGTTATTCCGGCTGATACGGGAAACGGGCAGCAGGACACCTGGTGTTAATGAAACTATACGTGACGAGAGTGGACAGCCTATCCACAACTTATCAAAACGCCTGGAACATTGGGCTGAGCACGTTGAAAGGCAATTTAATCGGTCGGAATTGTTAGATTTCTCGCCGGCCACTGACCGCCCCGCTCCGTGGGCTCTCCATCGGGATCCACCCTCTCGCTCAGAAGTTAAATGTGAAATCGGACTGTTGAAATTAAATATAGCCGTGGGACCAGATAATCTTGCACCAGCCCTCTTCCGATTCGGGGGACGTGCTCTGGTGGATGACTTATACCAGTTACTAGTGAAAATGTGGGAGCAGGAGACTGTCCCAACGGACTGGAGCCGCTCCGTCATGGTCCCAATTTTCAAGGGAGGCTCACGATCGGAATGCAGCAACCAGAGAGGAATCAGTCTGATCTCCATCGCGTCCAAATTGCTTACATCTGTCATCTGTCGCAGACTGACTGGCACTCGTGTAAACCATATTCATGAAGAGCAAGCCCGGTTTCGTCGAGGTCGTGACTGCATTGATCACATCTTCACTTTGCGTCAGTTGTTGGAGCATCGTCACATATATTGGCGGCCCACCGTTGTCATGTTCCTCGATATCAAAGGTGCATTCGATTCGGTGGATAGACATGCACTTTGGGACTGTCTACTCAGGAATGGTGTGCTTGAGAAATATGTGAATATTATCCAAGCATTATACGCGCGTAGCTCAGGCAGAGTGAGGGCTTACGGTAAGCTGTCGTCGCCCTTTAATATCTACAGCGGTGTGAGACAAGGATGCCCGCTGTCACCTTTCCTCTGCAACTTTGCTGTCGATGAAATCATGGAAATCGCGTTCACAGGACACGATTTAGTAGGTGTGGATCTGGTCGCAGGAGAACGAATTCTTGACTTGGAGTATGCTGACGATATTGTCCTAATCTGTGATAGCTCCCAGACGTTCCAAGCGGCACTGGACAGATTATCACTGGCTGTCAACCGCTTCGGGCTTTGCTTTGAACCATCGAAGTGCAAAGAGTTCCTCCAAAGTTCGCCTGGTCCGCCTCCTTCGCTGATCTTTGGTGGGGATCAGCTAGAAGTCGTTCAAAAATTCAACTACCTGGGAAGCTGTATCGGTGCCCGTGGGATTGAAGATGAGATGACGAACGGTATAGCAAAAGCTCGATGCGCTTTTGTTAACCTTCGTCACTTATGACGCCGGCGCGACATCACCCTCGCCCTGAAGTGTGGAGTGTACAATGCAGTGGTACGTTCGACTCTACTGTTCGGTTGTGAAACCTGGCCCCTTAGATCAGCGGACATAAAGAGGCTAGTTACATTCGACCACCGGTGCCTTGACAATTTAGCTCACATCTGTTGGGAACACCGCGTGAGCAACGAGCGTGTTCGACGCTTGGTTTACAGCACAGGAAAATGAAATGAACCGCTCAGCACCGTTATTTCACGCACCAGGATCCGATGCGTCGGCCAGGCGTTACGCCTGCCAGTCCACGGACTCCCGCGATTTGCGTTGTTTGCGTGCCGGGCTGTGGATGCAAGAAGAGGAGCGGTGGCCAAGTGTTGACTTGGTCGAGAGGAATGAAGGTCCTCAGTTCGGATCTGGCCTCGGTTGGAGCGTCTCGGCTCCGTTGTTGGGGTCCGAAAGACGATGAACACGTTTGGCTGGATCCACTTGCTGACATGGCTTGGATCTGACCTCAGTGGCGTTCGTGCTGTGAGTTTCTTTGTCCCACCTCATCCCTCTTAGCCTCCCCCTCCAACCACGATCTCATTATTTAGCATTTTATAATTTTGCGTATTAAATTACTTATTTTCTGTTGCATAGTAGCCGGCATGTAGCTTACCGGAACGATGCCCATCCGTTACCGGTAGCTCAGCTGATTTGCACCTGTTGCATATTTTTCTTCTTTTTTCCTCTATGTATTGCGGCATTGTAGCTGAGGTTTTTCCCACATCTAGCTAGCGTGTATAGTGAGTGGGTGAGCCCTCAGGCACACTTTCTCAGCAGCTAAATTGCAAAATTCAGCTCACCGGTAACCCAAATCAAATCTGGAGATGTGCCAGACTTACACCGGTGGAAAAGCAAGGCTCGGAAAAATACCGACTGGTTACCTTGAAGATTGTAGCGCTTGTGCATATCTTTCTTCCCAATTGTACTTTCCTATTCTCACTTCCATTATTATTGTACAGTTTTGTTTTAACTGACCAACGACCGATACAACACTTTTTTCGGGTTTCGATTCGCCTTCTGGTTTCCGCTAAGCGTGTTGTGCTGTTGGTCGTCGTCTGTCTGCTGGCCTCGTCCATCGATCATCGGATCTAACGCGTCGATTTATTGTGCCGACTAAGTTCCGTCTTCCGACCAGATTGTGCGACTAACTGACAGCCTAGCGAGGATCGTGCTTTACCTAAGGTCAGCTACAGCATTCTTATGTATAAACTGAGTTCTTATATGTAGTTAAGCCCTTTCCGTTTGGCTTTTGCACTACAAGATGTTCGAGAACATCATTCGTGAAACTTGGATAAAAAAATCTCACTCAGATTAGCCGCTAAGGTGTGCTTATCATATTTTGAGGTTAACTAAAGGCGCGTTAGCTCATCCTGTTCATTCAGTGCCGTCGTCACAAGGCAACAAGGTGAAAGCAGTAGGCATGTTTTTTCTCGATTACAGTAATGTTTGCGGCAATGTAAGCCGTGAGCTTCTATTTGAGCGACCTGCCGGATGCCGGAATTTAAATCTTTTGTCCACCTTATGAGAGATAACTTCTCTGGGCGTTCCCAACTTACCCAACATGGAGGCAAAAGTTTCTCGCCACCCACCATAGACACTGGAGTTCTTCAAAAGGCCATACTATTCCCATACCGCTTTACCAACTACCTCGCCACTGTACCTGTACCTGTCGATGCGGTATCGCTGAACTATGCAGGCAATGTTATCTCAGGTATGTACTAACCGCACCAGCTAAATTACAAGTGAATATGCACAGCGTTGTATTATGATCAGGAGCTCACTTTCTATCGTTGTTCGCATCAAAATGCAATAACCTCATTTTCCCTCTACATAAAGCCCATGCTTATCAGCAACTTCTCATCGAGTGCACCGAAATTCACGTAGATGGCAAGAATTTGCACTTCAGATTGTCAGTGAAGTACCTAAGAATAATAATCAGTTATGATTTTTCTTAGTCACTCCATGTTAACGAAGTTTTTACAAGGGTGAGGTGACTTTCGTACTACTCCCTTGGTTTGCCATCCTTCTTCGTCCCTCGTCACTACATTCCGAGAATTATCACTGCATGTGTCTTACCCCTTTAGACCTGTTGCTCCAACATGATAATTCCTGGTTTTCTAAGGAATCAATTCAACCTTTTATCTAGGTAACTAATGCAATCAGCTCGAGGTAGTGAAATTCCCAAGCCTAACTTTGTTGAGATTCTTGAGTCCACACGCACAACTCTTGTATAAGACTTGCTTCGGGAATACTTACTGATACAACTCACCTTCTTCATGGCGCACTGTCTGTGTGTATCAACATCCTCAGCCAAAATATGTATAGCGCAACTTTTGCCAGCATACGGGCGTATCTCTAATCCGTTATACCATACCTGACACGTTAATTGTGCGAAAAGACATCCGTTGTCCTGAAACTTAAAAACAACTTTGTGTCATAACCATACTAAAGTTTATGCCATTTATAACTCTACTTTGTAGTTAACGATTTGTTTAGAGGACGTCGTGTATTTCGGGGCCAACCCTGTGCTCTGCAACGTTCGTAACTTGCATGACAGTGGAGGATAAGATGCGCTATATCACAGTTAGCTTGTAAATTATGACGGTCCGAAGCTGTTCCCCGTGGCCCAGTGGCATAAGCTGCTGACTGGCGCTTCAAGCCGCTGGTGGTCATGGGTTCTAATCCTGATGGATCCGATGGATGGGTACTACTGATGATGCCCAACAGGCTGAAATTGCAGTCTAGTACGTTTCCGGGCATGTGGACGACCATCTGATTTGGAACATGGTTACGATGAACCGCCCTTAATTATATCAAAATCCTCTACTCGTGAGTACATCAAAATATATCCGCGCTGACAGTTTCTAAATGCTATGTCGTATATAGATACTGCTAGTGAACGTCGAGTCTTTCGGGGCCAACCCTGTGCTCTGCAACGTTCGTAACTTGCATGACAGTGGAGGATAAGACGCGCTATATCGCAGTTAGCTTGTAAATCATGACGGTCCGAAGCTGTACCCCGTGGCCCAGTGGCATAAGCTGCTGA